TGAAAACTTCTTTAGCGGCGTTGTATACACTCGCGTCAGGTTAAACACGTGGGCTGATCGCATCATGACACACAATAAAATTGGAAAGGTTGTTGACTTTTACGATATTGGCCGAAACATAGTAATATTTTATTTTACCGTATTATAATAATAAGTCTCTATCTAGGACATCTACGTGGCAGCTTTATTGCGAAGAAAATGCATTTTTTTACAATAGATGTCGCTAGGTGCGCTTAAACGTGATTTATGTAAGTTGATTTTTCTAAGAGATCATGTTGATTATATAGATAATCATGTTTGTGTACGATAGCGCAATAAATAAATATTGTATTAGTACCACATACATGATAGTACTTTTATACTGATAATTAAAGCAGTTCGTGCAAAATTATTCCCTTACCATTCCAAAATATCAAAAATGCAAAACGTTAATATTCAAGTTTTCACTTCTGCCGGCACTCCCGGAGTCCAACCTGTCGTTTTTTATTAAGTGTCGTATACATGCACGTTGGTCGCAGATTACCTTTACATCGTCACCGTGTTTGGCGAAGGCGAAATCCTAAGGGGACCTCGACCCGAGAATTGGCGAGTGCCTCGAAAGGTATTCCAGGAGAATGGCTTCTCCCCACGAGGGGAGTCTTCTCTCAGACCGGGTTTTCGCATTCTTATGCTACGGGTGCAGTGTCTGCCTAATGCTAAGCCAGTGTGCAAGTTTACTAGCTGTGTAGTGTTGGTGTTTGTGGCCTGTGTGGGTGATTTCGTCGTCGGGGTGCTCTAAGTGTCGCCGCACACGGGCCACATGCCACAGCCACAAACGCCGCCACGAGAACCTAGAAACGGCTAAAGTGGCTGAAGCGCGCGACAGCGGCGGACTAAGCTAAGGTAAGGTGGGGAATCGTGCGAGTGACGTGTGGTGGCATTTTGTATCGGCGCATTAAGTGGCCGGTGCGGGCCACAAGAAGCGAGCAGCGACGATTTGTTGCGTGTGGCGGCCACCGGCGTACCGTGTGTGGCGAGTCCATATAAAATGTATGAAAACTACATGAAATATGCCGGTGGCGGCGTTTTGTGGTTGTGGTCGGTGGCCCGTGTGCGGCGACACCAAGGGCGGATCCAGCTTTGGCGCCAGGGGGGGTCATATAGCCAGCTTTGGCGCCAGGGGGAGTCATATAGTAGTGGTATATTAAATATTGAAAGTACTTAAATAAAATCCCCCTGGGTTTGGTCCATCTGTACCCAGCCCATGACCCCCATGACCCCCGCCCCCCTTGGATCCGCCCTTGGGCGACACTTAGACGTGCGTAGGTCGACGGAATCGGAGGGAGATCCACGGGGTAGGGAAGGGGGTCAGAGTAAGCAATGCCGCGAGTGATAGTTTGGTATCGCAAGTGTCTATAGCCTTTGGTGGCCGCTTACCATCAGGCGGGCCATATGCTTGTTGGCCAACTTTTAATCACACTAATATTATAATAGCGAAAGTTTGAGTGTGTGAGTGTGTATGTTTGTTGCTTCTTCAAACTTAGTAATTTAATGGAATACTTTACCTTTGGTGCGTTAGTATACATGCATTTCAGGGCAAGCATGGCTCTCTCACAACCCTTCGCACCATCACTAACTGCTTCTGTGTTCACTGTAAAATTTAAAAATCGACGTTATTTTACGGAATATTTCTGTTATAAAAAAATCAATCAATTTTCTTCTTCTGTTCTGTTCTTGTAATTATTTCAAAGAATTTGAAGTTTAATATTGAAAAAAAACTTGAAAGCTTGCGTTTACAATAACTTGATGTTTAGCCTTAGCACGAAACAATATTGAATTCGAATAGTTTATGATAATGACATTTCGCACTCACAAACATTATCGAATTCGAATAGTTTGCAAACCGAAATGTCAATGTCAAATTTTGTATATAAACTTGAACAGCAGCGGCACAAAGTACGTAGCGAGAACTAAAAATCAGTACACATTTGAAAATGACATTTCGGACTTGCAAACGATACGAATTCGATATTGGTTCGTGCTATGGGTATAGTTTACTTGAGTGATATTACTTTGCTATACAAAGTGAAAAAAGCTCTTTTCAAGTCCTTTTTCACGACTTTATTTATAATAAAGGAAGATAAAAATAGCCCTTGCTGAATTTCTTGCACAGTCAAGGTCTCAGTCTCAGTACAAGGTCTCCCGCCGTAGATTTGCGAACCGATGGCGTAGCTTTCAGACATTCATAAGTGCTTGTAACAGCCTAGACTCAATAAATGATATTGAATTAGGAAAAAAAATTAAGGGGTGTTATAGTAAAATTGAAACAGAAAAAACAATGATCTACGTTGCCGCGATGCACGAAAGACCCCTTAAGGCTCTATAAGTTATGGTTTCCTTAGCATTTCTTATAGTACAGTTTAATTAAAAGGTTATTAATCTGTTAGGAAAATTATTGTGGATTAACTCAGAAATATCGACTCACCGGATGCGCAGGAGTGAAGGTAGTCTCCGATTATCTTAATTTCCTCCTCATCATGGAAGACAGTTTTGGCGAGTTCTAGAGCAGTTTCTTTTTGCATCATACCAGCATCATCTAGCTGTGAAAATCAGTAAATTTTAGGGTTGTTGGAAATATATCGATGTATCGATATATCGATATTTTTTGCCGATATATTTAGAATCGATATATCGATACATCGATACAAAATAACCAATAACGAAATTCGTATCAAAAACGATATTTTTTTTATTATTAGAGGCATATCACGATCTAACTAAATTCGTATCTGGAAAAATCGTAACTGGATCTCAGATTAATGATATTCAACATATCTATGATCTGTGCTGTATTTAGTATTGTCTATGTCATCATTCGAAAATAGGGTCTATTTTTAGGGAGATAATTTTCGTTCCATTATTATTCCGTGTGTCATATTTCGTGAGCTACTGTACGATATTTTTGGGAAAATTGGTCCGATATTTCGATATATCGATGTTTTTTTCGCGATATATCGAAGCCGATATTGATATTTTTTAAAAGATCGATGTATCGATATATCGATATTTTTTTCAACTTTCGACATCCCTAGTAAATTTTATTTATGATATAAAAAAATGTGTGCACGGACGGGAAATACTCACGCATCACTCATATATATATGTATATTATACAGGGCGTCCCACGGCTACCTCACACGGAGGGAAAGTATATTAAATATTGAAGATACGATATTTTGCTGAAAGAAGACATCATTTTATTTTTAATAATAAATAGAACTACATTCACAGATTTTTTAAAAATCGCCTGCTACAACTGGGAATCAAACTCTTGAACTTGAAAAATAAAACACGACATATTTTATGATAGCCGTCGAAAGGGTTAATCATAAGGATTATTTTTTGCTAAATAACATAGCATTTTAAATGAAAGAAAAGTCATTAAATTTAACATTTTATTCATAATTATTTAACACAAACTAAAGTAAAAACGAAAAGATGCAAGACAAAAAAAAATCAAATGTTCAGAATGTGATTCATTTTGTGGTTTACAAATTCTCAGTCTTTTAAATTTCTCTGTCTGTAGATTTCATTATCATTGCGTGGTGAATGTTTGTAATAACACGCCTGAGTTCATTTTGAAGCTGCAGCACACTGTCATACTGGATCTTGTATACTGAATCTTTAACATACCACCACAAAAAAAGTCCAGTGGGATCTAATTTGTCCATAGGTACCGATCCAGGAAGGAAAGTGTTGATTGAGAAACTCGGCAGTTCTCCTACTGTTATGAGTCGGAGTCCCATCTTGCATCAAATAAGATTTCGTCGATTTGCATCCTGATGCAAAGATTATTGATCTCATCTCTTAAAATATTACGTATTTCAAGATATCTTTCCGTGTTCAGATTTTTAACAATCCCACACCAATAGTTAAAAGAAAAACGTACTTGATCATTAGTCTCGCGGATTCGTAAGTGATTCTGTCTGGACCGAATACGATTATTACGCCGATTGTACATATTAGATGGCCAGCGAGCTCCCCAGATCTAACCCCACTGGTTTTTTTTTTGTGGGGTTATGTAAAAGATGTCAAGAACCGGTACGACAGTGTGCAGGAGTTACAAAATGAACTCAGAAGTGTTATAACAAACATTCACCACGCAAAGATAATGAAATCGACAGGCAGATAAATTATTAAAAGAGTGAGCATATGCATACAACAAAATGAATCACATTCTGAACATTTGATAAATAAATTATTTTTTTCTTGCACCGTTTCGTTTTTATATTAGTTTGTGTTAAATAATTTGAAATAAAATGATTAATTTAAAGACTTTTCTTTAATTTAAAATGCTATGTTATGTAGCAAAAAATAATCCTTATTATTAACCCTTTCGATGGTTATCATAAAATAGGTCGTGTTTTTTTTTCGAAAATTCTCGAGTTTGATTCCCAGTTGTAGCAGGCGATTTAAAAAAAACTGTGAATGCAATTCTAGTTATTATTCAAAATAAAATGATGTCTTCTTGCAGTAAAATATTCTATCTTCAATATTTAATATACTTTCCCTCCGTGTGAGGTAGCCGTGGGACGCCCTGTATATTGTCCCGTGTGACAGCTTTACATACATATATATATACACCGAGTGGTACACTGACCAATTATGCTACCACGATCTTAATGGCCGTATCAAATTTCCACTGGTTTTTTTAGACTGCAAGGCAGGGCCATCGTTTCGTATAGGCAATCCACAATGGTTCCTGGATCGCGTGGTTCTTTTTCTAGTAAAATTTTCTTTACATTCAACCAAGTAGCAGTTGAATGCTTAAAAAATAAAAATATAATAAACTAACTACTCAACTTTACTTAAGCAGCTTACTAATACGCAGTTACGATTGGCATACCCCATGTAAAACATCAAAATATCAGTATGTCTTTATATGGTAAATATGCCCCTGGATGTATACCTCAGCACTGGGTAACCTTTAAACACTGATCGTGATGATGATGATGACTCACCACTCCCATTTTCTTCATCATACAAGCCACAAAGCACGGCACCCCGTCCCCAGCGGGAATCTTCTTGCTTTTAAAGTCATTGATGTCGTCTTCAGTAATAGGGAAGTCGGCCATACATTCTGCGCCCAATTTTTCGAGTTCCTCTTTAATCTTTGCCTTCTGTTCTTCTGTTGCTGCCTTGAAAATCAAATAAGGAATGGAATTTATTTGTCTTGTCAAAGTTTTTGGTTTTTAAAATTCTGTAGCTGGCTTGAACTTTGAGAGAGACGTCTGCTGACCTTCAGAGAAAGTAACGGGGATGATGAGGGGGTAAAATAGACGAAATTCTGTTTATTCCGTCAGTTAGATTTTTAAAAACAATGGGCGCTTATTTTTTCTTTTGTAAATCATCCAAAAATGACAAAGATAAAGCGCTTCAAATTAGTCTAGTACCCGTTGGACCCTCAAGATTCGACCCAAAAGCAAAAAGTGCCCATTGGACCTCTTTTTTGGTGTCCATTGGACCTTCTTAAGAAGTTTATATTCAATGTGCCCATTGGAACTCTATTTTGATGCCCATTGGACCTCTTTTTTGGTGCCCATTGGACCTTCAAGATATATACCCTACTGCCAGTTGGGCCTTATTGACAGTTTGGTCTTGGGAGTGCAGGCTTGTGACGTCACTCGTACTAAGTGAAAATTGTACCAAGATGTGACTTCATGCGAAATTTCAAATTAATATATCTCCGTAATGATTTGTATAAGTGAATAAAGAAAAAAAACGTGTGTAATACTTTTAAATAATCTACTTGACAGACGAATAAAAAAAAGTTGGTTATCATTCCTATAATATAAGTATCACATGGCTGAATTGACAGCTTTACTTGCCTTACAAGGAACGAAGGAGATCAGATAAAAAATAAATCAATATTTCCATCAGTGCGAACCCTCTCGAGTAGGCGTCACATTGAAACCTGACTTATAAACCACTCGGCCACAGAGGTTGTCAAAATAATACACTTTGACGACCTCCTTGGCCAAGTGGTTTGGACGCCGGGTTTCATGGTGTCGGCAACTCGAGAAGTCCCGGGTTCGAATCCCGGTGGGGGCAGATGTTTGTGTGATGAATACGAGCACTTGTACTCCAGTCATGGATGTTTAATATGCATTTCTATATAAAATACTTATATATGTACAGTATATGTATTCTATCCGTTACCCTAGTATATAACCCATAACACAAGCCTTATAGTGCTTAGCTTGGGGCTAGGCTAATTAGTGTGAGTGTTGGAAATATTTATTTATTTTGGGTCATATTATCCGACTACTCAGCTTTTGTGTAAGTTTTTCAGTTATTAATTAAATAGCAAGAAGAAATAAATAGCTTAATAGCGATATCAATACGAAAAAATAAATTAAATAGACACGCGGTAAAGAAACTTACATCCCATTTATTAAGATCTTCAGCCGTTGAGCTTTTCCACTCAAAAATATAATCGCCTTATTACAAAACGTAGGCTGAAGTTAAACCTGGACTAAAACTGATGCTGTCACTTTTATTTGCTAAAAGACAGGGACAACATTAGGTTTAAACCAAGACTAAATTTAGTCCGCGCTTTGAAATAAGACGGTAAGGGTTCCTAACTGCGCAAGCCTACAAGGTCGCAGTTTCGTATCTCACTTAAAATAAACAGATTTTGTAGACTTTTAGATTTTTAGGGTTCCGTACCTAAAAAGGAAAAAACGGAACCCTTATAGGATCACTTTGTTGTCCGTCTGTCCGTCCGTCCGTCTGTCAAGACCGTTTTTCTCAGGAACACGTAGAGGTATCAAACTGAAATTCATATATAATACTCAGGAGTACTGTCCCTTGGAGCTGCGAAAAAATCAAACTTCTAAGCCACAGCAATCAAAAGATACAGCCGTTTATGTCGCAAATTTTCGAAACTCGCACGGGAATCAAAACCTACAGGGTACTTCCCGTGAACTTAGAATCTTGAAATTTGGTACGAAGTAACGTCTTATAGTACAGATAAAGGAAAAATTGCGAAAACCGTAAATTCTTAGTTACATCCTATAATATTTTTTTTTAATAATTATTAAAATATACCTAGAGGTTTGTACGGAACCCTCGGTGCGCGAGTCCGACTCGCACTTGGCCGGTTTTTTCTAAACCATAATTAAAAATAATTTCTATTCTAATATTATTAAGAGGAAAAGTTTGTATGTTCGTAACGAATTGGCTCAAAAAGTACTACACCGATTTTAAAAATTCTTTCACCATTTAAATGCTACATTATCACTGATTAATATAGGCTATATTGTATTTTAAAAAAAGTTAGGGTTCCATATGAAAACTTTGATAATGGAACCCAACGTGTGTAAGAAAAGAAAGCAGAACAATTTTGCATTCGGTACAACGGGTCCTAAACTACGCAACGATCCTTCCATCGTAATATACACAATGACTTTCTTCATAATAATTATTATGAAGAAAGTCATTGTGTATAATACAAGCCTTTGAACAAAAACTATAGTCTACACTACAGCTCTACACCGAAGCAAAGCGAGGGCGGACCACTAGTATATTATATAGGAAGTATTTTACTTACCCGAGCTAAATACGGCGTCAAAGCTAAAAAGTACAACGAACACAATAAAACGGTTGAGCGGAACATTTTTCAAAGCTTATATTTCTCTTTTCCGTGCTTTGTTTCTAGACTGGTTGAATATCAGACAATGTTTGACAAATTTTCGGTAAAACACGCGAATTTATACGCAACATTCGCAAAGTGACAAATAAATGACAGGGTATCCTAATATATCATTAGGGTCTTTGAATTAACTTCGTCTTATTGTCATTGTATTTGTACTAGGTAATTTTGTAACCAAATCACTGGTTGTTTGTTGTCGAAAAAAAAATTGTCTCGTGCCACAAGATTTTTCTGTAAAGAGCTGTAGTTACTTTGAAATGCAGTTGAGTTCATTATGCACGTACAAGTTACCTCATTTTCCGATTTAGTAAATATCTCCCGATGCAACCGATTTCCAGTCACAAGTTATTTTCAACGGACGACCATATGTTTTTTGAAATCAACTCTAAAGTTGTCATGATCTGATCAAGGACTTCGGTGAGGTAAGTAGAGAGACTAGGTAGATGTGAGTTACCATTAAACACTGCTTGGATTGACATGGCACCAGTGCCGTCTTTGACCTATTGGAGGCCCTGGGCATATTAGGATAAGCCCCCTATGAGTTCCGTTTGGTGATGTAATAGGAACTAGGGATTTTGTATTTGATCTGAGGGGGCCCCCTAACGATCGCGGGGCACGGGGCACTTGCCCAAAGTGCCCACTGGGTAAGACGGGTCTGCATGGCACCGACACCGGTACTTCCTCTTATTTGAATGATAGTCTTTAGTTTAAATTGAAAAATAAGCAATGTCCAATATATGTATTAAATTATACAATAAGTAGCCAATAGCCAGTAGTTCAATAAGCCTATGCTAATAATTTTGTAGTTCTATTTAAAATTAAAGCTTTAGGTTGTAATTGTAAATATTATATTTTAAACCAAAACCACAGATTTTGGTTAAGAACCGGTTTATTTACATTTGTTTGAAACTTATTGCGATGGCCCTAATTCTAACAAGCGAACTATTTACTAAATAAACATATTTACCCCCGTCCCTATGTTGTGTTTTTAATAAATTTTGCCGCTAAAAGGGCTATTTTATGTTACTATATGTAATAGGGATAATCATTTGCCCTATATAAACAAAATTTCGATGAAATTTCACAGATACAAAATCACTTAGCCGTGTTATTCGTGAAAAAAATGTTGGATTTTTAAAGATTTCGGTTTTAGTTTTCAGTTTTGTTGAATTTCGTTAGGGTTAATAAAACGGTGTAAATGGTTTTTATAAGTAATATTGTTTTACGGTGAAATTGTTAATACAATCTTTTATGACGGACGTATAAGAATAAAAGAATATTTATACAGAAATACATACGAAATATCTATGACTGGAGTACAAATGCTCGTATTCATCACACCAACATCTGCCCCCACCAGGATGCGAACCCTCTCGAATAGGCGACACATTAAAACCTGGCTTATAAACCACTCGGTCACAGAGGTTATCAAAATAATACACTTTGACGACCACCTTGGCCGAGTGGTTTGTACGCCGGGTTTCATTGTATCGCCGACTCGAGAGGTCCCGCGTTCGAATCCCGGTAGGGGCAGATGTTTGTGTGATGAATACGAGCATTTGTAGTCCAGTCATGGATGTTTAATATGTATTTCTATATACATATACTTATGTACAGTATATGTATTCTATCCGTTACCCTAGTATCCCATAACACAAGCCTTACAGTGCTTATTTTGGGGCTAGGCTAATTAGTGTGAGTGTTGGAAATATAAAATAAATATAAAAATATAAACTCGTTTGTTTTGTCAACAAACCTTTTTCTTTCAGGTCGAAACATTTGATGACCTGAAGAAGGAGTACCTGGATACCTTGATGGAATGTATGAAGGATTACCAACTCACGCCTGCTGAAATTGCCCAACTGAAAGAAAAGAAAATGCCCGACAATGAAAATGCCAAATGCATGTTCGCATGCACTTATAAGTCTTTAGGAATGGTAAGATTTAATATCTGCCCATCTGCCTTTTGTTCTGTAATCTGAGATGCCAGCATATTGTCTTAAAAAGTTTCCAAATATAATTAAGATATTAAATTTAAAGAAAAGTTTACTAGAAAAAATTCAACGCGGACCAGGCAGCACACGGGACTAGAACCCGCACCCTTCGCTATCCGGGCGAATGCATTGACCATTATGCTACCGCGGCTCTAGCCTAAGGCTAGAGAAAATTCGACACGGTAGCAGTGCATTCGACCAGATAGTGAAGGGTGCGAAGTCCCGTCTGCTGCCTGGTCCGCGTTGAATTTTTTCTAGTAAACTTTTCTTTAGATTTAAACATCTAGCAGTAAAATGCTTAAAAAATAAAAAAAACTATCTGCAATTTGATCGAATTCACTATTTGTATTGGAAAACTTCCAGCTGGCTTATGCTGTTTTTAAAGTGAAACTTCATCGCCACAATTTTTTTCATTCGGCTAAAGCATGTTGTATTATATTTTAAATTGTTGTTCAAAAATTCAAATCTTTTATGATTAAGTATCGGTGGTTTAGTGTTATAAAAAGCTGGCCTTCAACGCTAAAATTTACTATTTATTAAATGCCTACGATTCGAAAAAAAATTGAGCAAATGTAAAAAGTTTTACTTGCATCGTGGTTTCAAAAAACCACACCAATTTTCCTTCATTCCCTTTACAGTATATACTAATCTGAAATATCTCTAAATTTTTAACGAAGCGTGTTAAGTTATTTAAATTAATTTTTGAACTAAACTTTGTTTAAACCTCGTTCTTTTGACTTTAAACAAATTACAAAGATGGAGTGATGTTTTAAACGGTTTCAAGCTTAAATATGTGTTAAGAATGTTATTTGTTTCCTAGATGGATGACAAAAAAATGCTGTCATTGGAGGACATTAAAAAATTTACGAAAAATATCTCACGGGTGATCCAGAGACTTTGCAAATTGCCTTAAAGTATGTCGACGCCTGCAAAAGTGGTAAGTAAGGGTTACGGTGTATGAAGTACATAGTAAAAAGTATGGATCTTGATGGTACAAGTAGTTAGTACGTTCGTTCTGCAATCGTGCAAGTTAAACAACTTTCGCAATGACCGGTATTCAGATGGGTGACCGAAAATTTATTAGCTTGAGCTCATCCATGCTTTGGTAGGCACGATGGTCCAGGCTGCTTCTACAGTAAAGGACCAATCATCCACCAATCATCACTGGGCCCGCGTGGTGGGATATGGACCAAACTACCTATTTCGTCCGTAAGGAAGGCTTGTGCCCCAGCAATGGGGACATTAATTGTTTGAGCGTACAGTCGGCAAAGGTTGCCGTGTCCACACTTGCCCTCCCGACGCGCATTGGGGGGACTGCAGTACCCAGTATGCAAGCCGGGTAACCGGTGCAGGATATTGTCTGGTTTTTAGTGTCCCTATTCAGGGCGTTAGGCAGGGCTCTGCTCATTTTAGCCAGCCCTTGGGCCGGATGAAATGAGCAGGGAGGAGTCCCACATACCTTCTTCCCCGGTGGTTGAAGGATGCGTAAGGTAATTCCCAGACAAAAAACAAAGGCTAATTAATGATGATGCAAAAGGTAATTGCAATTTAAGGCTTGAAAACCAAGGAGTCTATATGTTCTGAGCATCTTTTTTGAAACACCACAAACAGAAATTGAATGAAAATCTTAGAACTTCATGGGATGTGGGCTGTAAACAGTAAACTCTTTTAATTTATGCTGCCTTTATGGATTTAGCGTGATCGCGCGGTTCACATGGCCGCAAGAAGTTCCCTACACGCCTCCCCGTAGAGCTTAAACCCTTAAACTGGACACTCATAGTTGCGGTGTCATATAGGCATCGTAGAACTTAGATATATCGCCAGTTTACACTTACACATACTTACTTACAAACTTCTAGCGAGATGATTCGTGACGACCCTTGAGAATAACTTGTAACCTTGTTTTATCTCTTGATTCCTCCGAGAATCTCTGGCTTTGAGGTAACCATTTTGCCATCCACAGTTTTCGTTAAGTAGATGCCAGAAAATAGCAAAGTGTCATATGTACGTAGGTGGGTATGTGATGTTAATTGTAAGGTGTAGCGGAGTCCCTTGATTTCTTTAGGTTAGTACTCCTGTAATCGTAATTGCGATACATCGGTTATTTACACGCAAAAGAGCTAATATATATAAAAATATGTACTTGTGCCTATAGATAGTAAAGCAACAATAATATTTCAATCCCTACAAAGGATAAAATCTGATCTTGCCCTTCATTTACGAAAATAGTTTTTTTTTTATAGATAAGTCCGACAAATGACACCACCCCACCTGATGTTAAGTGAAGGTGAAGTCCAGACGCGAAGATAGCTGATACAGCTGTTCCAACTGCCACACCAGCCATCCTCACTCTGCCGGCCTGCAAGTTGCTTCTTCACGCCTCTTTTAAAGGATCCCAGGTTGTAAGGGAACACGTGAGCGGGCAGAGCATTCCATTTACGGATAGTGCGACAAAGAAATGAGTCATCAAATTTCTTTGTACGCGTTGGAATTGTAGCCACAGTTAGACGGTGCTCTTAGACATAGCCTTGTAAGACCTGCTATGATACCAATACCTCCGGGAACCTCGTACACAGAAGAAATATGATCCGTCTAAAATAAGATTGTCGATAATTTTCAATAGTAAATTAAAGATTTTTACTAAATAATTTCAGTTAAGTTTCATATTCAATCAAAAAAAACGGCTGAAAGGATTTAAATGAAATATGGCACACATAATGTTAATAACCTGAATTAAGTCATAGATGCTGTCAAGGTCCTAAGTGATTCTCAAAAAACTTATCATAATGAACGAGGAAGTTGTGGGCGGAAGCAGATTGCAGGCGTCATATAAAATAGTGCACAGAACACACGAGAACATTAAATAAAAACAACAAATACTTTCATTCATATAGAAAGCGTGGGAATGCATTGTGATCTGTGATCTAGTACCTATAGCACATGCTCTTTAATTTTGTTTTCACCCTATTTAGGGTTGTGCAACAATGTTTTAGCAAAAAATTCAAATGTTTCACTACCGATATTTTATATTGAAATTTCACTTAGTTTCAATGAACCCAACCAAGGGTTACTTTTTTAGACTATTTTTACTTTTATAATTTCCAACTTTATAT